AGCACTTTTCCAGTATTTCCTTCCTGAATCTAAAATTTTTTCAGCTTTGAACCATGCTGCGAGTCCTGTGCCTTGCTATATATTTTAGCCTAGCACATTTTTTAACATTCCCTTATTTTCCTGTTTTCCCGTTACTTTATACACCTTAATCATAAACCCCCCCTACCTAATTTCTTGCCAAAAAACAAAAGTCTATCAGAAATTCCTGAAAATTCAATAAGAGATTTGGAAACAAAAGTTTTTCTTTTGTTGGAGTATGGTGCTGCTGCGGGGTCACACTTGCCATATGGCAAAAGCATTGAGAATCATTTGAACTTTCAAAAATCCTGAAATTCAAAATTGCAGCCCCACAAGGGTTTGGAAAATGATATTAAAGGGATGGTTTTGTTGGGTGGACCTGTACATGGGATCAAAACTGTCATACTTTCTACGTTTTCCGGTGCTTGCATTTTATCCATTCTGTAATTCGGTAATTGGAAATGGTTTTGCAGACATAATCTAAACTAGTTAAACAACTTGAGGATTGATTATATGAACAATGATTTTTGTTTGTTTTTGTATTATTGCAATCATTTACGCACTGTTGTCCGTTTTTTTAAATTACTTGCTTAACCAGGAACTCTCAAAACCTTCCCCCCGCCCCCCAGCAGTAATATTAAGATCCACATTTAGGTTTGTGGCATGGTTATTTCGTCCAATGAATTTGAAACTTTGCATTTGTTCTATATTAAACTGATATTCTACACTTCTCTGCCAACTATCATCCTATTCCAAGTTTTCCTGGAGTGTCTCTAATGTCTCATGAGAATGAATTAAAGCAGCCTATTTTGGTGTCATCAGGAAACTTGCTGATGTTGGTATGTATTCCCTAATCCATGTTGTTTATGTAAATGAAACCAAAAGGGTCCCAAACACCGGACCCTGTGGAACCCACTTTGTGATGTGCCTCCACTGATTATTTCCATTTACGCAAACTGCTATGTCAGCCAGGGCCTCTCCTCTAATGTGGAACTATCAAAGCCTTACTGAAGTCCATTTTACACAATATATTCATTACCATGATCTACCTCCTCAAATACCTTAGTGACAAAAAGGTAAATTCGTAAGGCAGGAATTTCCCCTTTGTAAAACGCAGAGATTCATAAATCACTGCCACACAAGAGGGCTACGAATTGCCTTGGGCAATTGATTCCATAAATTCCCCCTACTATGGAGGTATTGGTCTATTGGTTAGGGTCACAAGTGACATGGTCCTTAGACAAATAAAATAAATTAAAACCTAACAAATCACAGAGCCCTGATGAACTGTATGCAAGGGTTCTAAAAAAATGAAAAGGGGGAGCTTAGCAAACCTTTGGCTAATGTTTTAAAAATTTATCACTACAAACTGGCATAGTGCTGATAAGTGGAAAATGGCAAATGTGATACAATTTTTAAATCGGGGGGACATGTCCTTTGCTTTGAAAATGTAGACCAGTAAGCCTAACCTCCATAGTGGGGAAAATTTATGGAAATTTAATTGCAGAGGCAATCCATAGCCATCTTGAAAGAAACAATTGATCAAGGGAAACTCAGCAGTTTTAAAAAAAGGGTTTTTCCTGCCTTATGAATTTATTACCTTATTTCACTAAGGTATTCGAGGGAGATCATGATAATGAATGCGATACATATATGGACTTCAGTAAGGCCTTTGATAGTTCCACATCAGAGGCTATCGAGGAAAATTAAGGCACAGAATTGGCGAAATTTTTTTCCTTAATAAGAGGCACGTTGACAGGCAGCAGTTTTTTTTCATAAATGGGTTTCAGAAATCAGTGGGGAAGTGTCAAAACTATTCGACAGGGGTCCCGTCTTGGGGTCCCTTCACCATCTACACGACAGACAAGGGAATAAATAGTGACATAAGCAACTTTGCCGACAACCACCAAAATTGGCCTTCAAATTCATTCTGATGAGGACATGGGGAGCACTCCAGGAAGATTTGAATAGACTGATGCAGTGGTCGGAGAGTGGCAGATGCAATTTAATACAGTGGAACCTCAGTTTACAAACTCCCCCATCATGCAAATTTTTTAGAATACGAACCGTCTTTTGGTCGATTTCTTTTGCTTCTGGATACAAACCTCCCCCTCAAGGGAGGTTCCTTAAATAAAAATATTTGTTTCTTTGCAAAGGTTACAATGTGCATTTACATATATGACTGGAGTAAAGAGCCACTACTTAAGTCTAGACAAGAAGTTTACTAGTAGTGGTTACCAATGTTTTGCTGATGGTGGCGCCAACTACTGGCAGCCTTTTCAAGTTTCTCCTATTTGTTATTATATTACATATTATGACTACTACTACAGTGTATTATTACAATTACTATTATTAGCATGTATGTGGTGATGGGCTCTTGATCTAAGGAATTGGATCTGTGCTCCAGTTCCTATAAATTAATAAATTATAATACGCATGTATTAACCCATAAACGGTCCAAACATACGTTCTCTACCGTAGTGCCCCAACTTTGAGAAAAAAAAAATATTTGTGCCAAATGCTTCAAAATAGAAATTGGCAACCCTCTGGGTGGCTGTAGGTACAGCTGCTACAACCACGGCTATCTCAAGTGCCAACCTAGGGTCAAAAGGAAGAAGAGGCGTGCCGCTCTGAGTGACCACAGCAGACCCTTGGGATATGTAATTTTGTCTTTTGTACAAATTTCTTACACAATGCCTTGCCCAAAGAGACAGTATTTGCATACAATCAGCAAGAAGCTCAGGAAGCAATTAGAAACTATGAAAAAAGCTAGAAACGAAGAAGGCAGCAGCATAGTGGTGCAGCTGGCCACCACCGTCGCCACTGTGATCATGTCTTCGCCTATACATACATACATACATCCATCCATCCATCTGTGTCTGGACCACACCTGTGGTTACACGTGACAACCTCACCACTAATCATAGATAAACAAGCTAGGTGTGGAGTTATGGACTGGGAAGATACTAGAGTGGGAGAGTAAACAGTGGATGCTTTCTGCCTTTGCCGGTGTCACCATCACTTGCCATATTATGGCCTATTTTATTCATTCTAGAGTATATATATCATGTTCCTATGGTATCAACATTGTTTACGTCACATTAGATGAATTGCGATAGATAACCAAGCCATAGAGTTGATAGCATTATTTTGTCACGCCTCCTGAAAGGCTGGAACGAATTAATTGCATTTCAATTAATTTAAACGAGGAAAGCTGACTCTGCATACGAACAAATCAGGATACGAACAAGGTCACGGAATGAATTAAATTCATAAGCTGAGGTTCCACTGTATAGACAAATGCAAAGTGCTAAACACTGGACATGAAAATAACTACGCCACATTCAACTACAAATCTTTGGTTAAGCCTCATTTAGATTATGCTGCACAGCTTTGATCACCATATTACAGAATGGATATAAATGCACTGGAAAATGTACAAAGGAGGATGACAAAGCTGATCCTATGTATCAGAAATCTTCCCCATGACGATAGTGAGGGCCCTGAATCTGCACTCTAGAAAGGTGTAGAATTAGGGAGGATATAACTGAGGTGTATGAAGGGAAAACAGGAATAAAGGGATTGTAAATAGCATGCTAAAAATATCTAGCCAAGACAGGACTCGCAGCAATGGTTTTCAGTTGGAAAAATTCAGATAGGATATAGGAAAGCACTATCTTGGTAATAGAGTTGCAGATGAGTGGAGCAAGCTCTGGAGTACTGTCATAGAAGCTAAGACAGTAGCTTTAAGAATAGGTTAGATAAATACACGAGTGGGCGAGTTGGACTTTGCTAGTTTGTGCTAGTAGGTCTGAAGCTGTGCTCCTTCCTAAGTGAATGACCTCACCATACTAGGTTGGGTCATTGGCTTAAGCTAGTAGGAGACTTGGACCTGCTTTGCATGGACCAGTAGACCTGCTGCAGTGTTCTTCTTTATGTAAATGGGTATTACATTTCCCATTTGTCTGGCATTATGTCAATTTGTAGTGGCAAGTTGAAAAGATAAGCCAAAGGTTTGCCAATTTTCCTCTTTCCCATTCCTTGAAACCCTTGCAAACATTTCATCAGGGCCTGGGGATTTGTTAAGTTTTAATTTCTTTGTCCGAGGACCATGCCACTAGTTTAACCTAACTATGCATATTTCATTATCGTCCTGTTCCTATGTAATTATTATTTCGGGAAACTTTGCTAGCACCTTCCCGTGTAAACACAGAGCAAGTGTTAAAAATTTTACAAGTTTCTTTTATTTTGGTGATCTGATGAGTGGGCCTGTCTTGTCTTGTCCCTAATCTTAATCTTGCTTTTATATACCTGAAAGGAACCTTTTGGGTTAGTCTTCGAATTCCTTGAAACTTTAGCCTCAATTTTTTGCTTTTCTTTTTCCCCTTTTATTTCCTAATTTGAATACTCTTTTCTTAACTGCTCCTCCCCCAGTACCCTTTATTTGTAATTAATTCATACTTCTGCCCAAATGTCTTTCAAATTTCCCCGCTCACTTGCACTCTCAATGTGTAGGGATAAACTAGCGTCATCCCTTTCTGATACATAGCAGTGGTAGTGGTGCAGACTAACTGTGTTGGTTCATCATGCTCTCCATTACTTCAGTAACTCGTGACGACTGATAAAAGAAAACTGGTACAGTACTGGGGTAAGTGAAAAATGGCAAATGTGTTGCTCGTCGTTTGTTTTCATACTGTACTAATTACCTTGTTACTACGGCATGTGTCTTAGTAACTGAAATCACGTGACCAAAAACCGTCCCTCAGTTAAAAAATTACACAACAAATAAATTACATATTGCTCTATTAAGTGTTTTTTAAATAAAAAAAAAAAGTTCCTGTGACAAAAAACTTCAGTAGATATTAAAATTTCAAATCATGAAGTTGGCGTCTCCCGGAGGAAAACCCTCACCGGACAATTATAATCTAAGAAAACACCAGAAATTGTAGTTAAAAAAAAACTTTTAACAATAATCCACTTACTGGGAACTCACGAGGAGTCTTCTCTCCACCCCCTACCGAGGGAATTCCACCAAAATAGTATCATTATGGTGGTTATTGAGAGGTAAGAGTGTAGATGATGTTCGCAGGTTGATGGTGGACGTCAGAGTGGACGGAGGTGACGCCTTCACAACCACACCTCACCTTCCTTCATTATTATGTATATATACTCTGTTATTTTATTTATGTATGTTTTCTCAACCTAATATTTCCTTTAATACTTATAATTATTAAAAACAGATCGTGTTTTTTTTTTAAATTTAATTTGTGCAAGGAAATTTATTATATATTTAAAGTTTACAAAAATTACTCACAATTATTATTAATTAAGAATTAAATGCTACAAGTAATTTTTGTATTCGTTATATAAAAATTTGAAGCTCTCAAATATATAATAAATTCCCTCCGTAAAAGTTAAATTAAAAAAAAATGAACACGATCCGTTTTTATTATAATTATTTTCTTATAACAGTTTTAGAATTATTTTTAATTAAGAATTAAATGTTATAAAATATCGTTTTATTAAACTTAATTATTTTATTCTTTTTATTTTTTTTATATTTTATTTAAAACATGACATTACAAAAATATAATATATAAAACTCATTTAAGGCTATAAATTAACACAATCCTCCCTACAGCTAACATTACACACCACACTTACAACTCCGTGTGGGTACACCCTCCCCCCCTCCCTGCTCCCTCTTCCTATCACTTAACCCAAACCTGTTGGAGCTACCAACTGATTTACTGATATGATCAAACCTTTTATATACCACATCCTCGAAATGGTACTTAATAATCGACTACAGACCATGCAATTCATTGCACTGAACATATTATACAGACTAGTACTAGGGACTAGTACCGAACTTGCACACGAAAATCACTCACTACGAAAGCAAAAGACTTGGCAGACGTGCCACAATCCCCAATGAAAAGCAGGGGTGTCACTTGCACGTTAAGAGAATACAATAAGTGTCAGGGCCCGGAGACGTTGCTAACTGCATCCCGCACACATAAAGGGGGATTACCAACAAGACCACTGGCAGTCTTAAGCTGGCACTGGACAAGCACCTAAAGTCAGTTCCTGATCAGCCGGGCTGTGGCTCGTACGTTGGTTTGCGTGCAGCCAGCAGCAACAGCCTGGTTGATCAGGCGCTGATCCACCAGGAGGCCTGGTCACAGACCGGGCCGCGGGGGCGTTGACCCCGAAACTCTCTCTGGACTACTCCACGACTAACATATTACCCCCCCCCGGCGTGGTTTCAAACCACGCCACGATTTTACAACCTAACATTCTACAAACAATGAATGTTGCCTAATCTAATGTCACACAGCAATGATCAAAACATTAATGTATGTAATTGTCCTAATGGTTCAGTTACATAACAATATGTATTACCACAACAATGGTGATATAGAAATGTCACAAAGACATACAAAATTACTACAAAGCCATAGGTATAAACTTTGTCTCAAAATCCAACACTGTAAGCTCTCTACACATCTTATCATGCATTCCCCCCCCCAAACGTGTTAAAAAACAATAACACAGCTTCAACTATGACTTCAAGCTCTATACAGCTTATATGGACATAACATAGGCTATTGACAACAGTACTAAATACCAACATAAACATAAACCATGACATAATGTGAAAATTTGTTTGGGACTGCCTCCCAAGTGAGTCCGCATACCCTGGCAAAACTCTGTGACACCGAGCTCTGAGGTGGTACCTCAGCCTCACAAAGTTGCTTATAGAACAGATTTTCAACAAATGGATTGCCCGGCTTTGCAAGAAACCTCGCCTGCATGCCGTATAAAGGAATAACATTATGGTGTTGCAGCAATATATCCTTATTTCAACTTCTAAAGCCTAGCTTTTGCCCCTTTGGACTTCCCCTTGGAAACCAGTGCAACCGTGGAGCATTAATTTCCTGCATTATTCAATAGTCTATTAGTTTTAATGTCTGCTGCACCTCAGAAATTCCTATATCCATGAGGGTATGTATCCCTGTATACTATGCAGACTCGACACTAGCTTCAGACGGCATCTGAGCCATGGTACTTTTATGGATGCTACTCTTGTAGCACGCCGAGCCTCAGTTAACTGACCCACAATCCCTAAGATCTGGCTGGGCCAGAACTACGGGAAAAGGTGAATATCTCGTTCTTACGGTATGGGTATGGAGGAGATCATCTACGGTACATCGAGGTGCCTCTTACCCAGATTTCCCAGGTTCTCAGATGTGAAGAACAGTGGGGGCGTCGCCTGTGTTACGGCAACGTCTTGTCCAGTCGGTGTCTATCGTAAGAAGGATGCTAATATGTCTTTGTGACCTGCGGCCCCGCCATTCAAGCTAGGGCTGCAGTCCTCCCTAGCATAACTTATCTAGTGTTTTGCCTACATTATCGGCCTATACTACCTATGTTAAGGTTTAGGTCTACTCTAATCATTATCTACAGATGCCTTAGTAAACCTAATATAGTTGTACCTCCCAGAAAAACTACTACTCTTCCTGAAGAGTAAATCTATAAAGTAATTAAGCTACAAACAACGCCAACCAGAGAATGGCCTTGCTTGTTTGGGAGGGTTTACAGGGCCGTCCGGCTCGGATGACCCGACGGCCTTGCTGGATCTGAGCTGTGGAACTATTTGGACAAATAATTTCTCAACCTAGTAACACATAAAATACTGTGCCTGCACGCACCTAACACAAAAACCCTATAACACCACTGTGGTGCCCAACTTTATTTAACTATCTGACGTACCATTAAACTCTTTACTCATCAAATCAAACTGAAAATTGCAGGATCTCCAGTGCGAAAATAATGCTAGACATTAATACAAACATATCACAGCATATCTCTGGACACCGTGCATGATCACAGCGTCAACACTATGCAGTGCAAGGCACCTAGAAAACAAGTTGGAGCAAATACATGCCCTATTATTATAGCCAAATATCCTAAATAATTACATTGTCATTACGTAAATTATTATTACCCACACAATATGTATAATAAGTATTTAGTCAGTCACACAAAAAACTGGCCAGCTCCACAGGTGCTTAGCACACGTGGTCCCACATATTATTCACTCACGCCATCATCAACCAACACTCACGCAAAACATTTGTGTCATCCTTACCAGGGAGGCAACCCTGTTTCCCACCTTCAACCTGGACTTCCCCATACCCAGCAACATTTCCAAATCATACCTCCCCTCCCTCGTATATTACAAGTCTAATTAAAACCTGTAAAAGTAAGTTGCCATATATCCCTCTGAAAAAATCCTTCACCCACCTCCATCCCATAAATTTCCTTATTTCTGCATACCGTTTATAGAAAGTTACCCGCTAACACCCTCCTCTTCACCTCAGTAACCTGTATTCCCCGCAATCCCCACACTATATAGATATAATGTGTCATAATGTATCCACAGCTCTGATTACACTTTCCTCCCAACACCCCCACGTCGAGCTTAATGCTCTCAATACAGAAATTCCGTTACTCCTTCTATTTATCACCCTATTTAACCACCCTTGGACACTCCTCATTCATCACAAAATATTACTACATGAAAAGCCGACTCTCCCCACCACATAACCCCACACTCCCCCCCCCCCCGTAACAAACTAGTAATATTCCGTTGAAACACACCCGACCAGTAAAATGCGTGCAGAAAACGATACATTACATCCCGAACACGAGGTTGCAACCTCATCCTACTCAACTATTCCATATTACTTCCCTATGCATACATGGGGAAAAATATCCTCTACAGGCGCTACAACCCTCTCGTCTAAAATCTACACAACCTACCTATTTTAACCTTTGATGCTCTCGATCCACAACGCCATAGCCCTCAAAACAGTTTCACATCATGCAACTCAACTCCTGTATAATCCGTTGCAATCTGTTATGTGATCTGCCAAACCCCCCCCCCCACCACACTTCCCTCATCACCTCCCTATTAATGAAGACACATTGGACCCTCCGCTTTAGTCCAGCAATCCCAGCCCCCCCTTATTACAGGTAACATTACATACATCCCTTTTAATTCCAATCAAGCAGACCCCCCCCCACCCAAGAATTAAAAAACCTTCCTAAGTATGTCGTTATTGCTGCCCAGTTACAATGGGGAACCACGGCTTGCCACGTGCCATACTTGGCTATAAAAGTAAGATATTTAAACAATGGCACGATGCACAAAGGGTCAAATGATAAGGTCACAATGTACCAAGCGTCCCTGTATCCTTTCTACCATCCCTAAGCGTGTTTTCCATGCGTGCCACAGTTAGATTGTCTGCCTAGATTAAGACCGCAAATTTTTAACGAATGCACCTTCCTCCTCCAACTGCACATACCCAATACACCCTACCCGCCAAGCTCCTAACACCATGACCATGGATTTATCTGAATTTACCCTCATACCAGTTGCCCTGCGAACATTTGTACTACCCCGTTAATGTGTCATTGAACATCCCTCCCTGATCAAGAACAGGTTGTATTCATTCCACATACCCAATTAAAAACTGGGCCCAAAACCTCGCAACCTCACACCTGAGTCCCTTACGTGAACATACGCTGCTCATCATTATAAAAAGGGGTCCCTGTACGCTGCAAAACAATAATTGTGACATAGGACACCCCTTCCTAAGTCCCCTACCCATTTACATCTTCCCTCCCAATCGACATTAATCTGTACCTTCGCCATTGCACCTCATAACATGCCTAACCCAACCCACTATCCTCTTCCCCAACCCCCTGGACCCTGAGGATGGCTTATCAAGTGCTTTCCGATCACACTATACGTATGCCCCTTGCCATCGAGCGCACCAAACTCCTCCCTCTCCCCCCCTTTTGCCTCCACGGAAATCCCTAAGTAACCCATGCCCCTCCACCATAGACCTCCCTGGCCAACCAAACTGTGTTTTTGATACTACCAGCCCCACCACACACTTGACCCGTTTCCCAAATCTTCGCAAACATTTTATAATTCTGCGCATAACCAACGAGATCGCCGGTAATCCCGAGCTTATGCTGCCCTTTACCCTCGGTACAATAACAACAGACAGCCATTTCCTGCTTCTCACCCAGCCTCAACCTCTC